AGCTCTAGTTGTGAGTTATATCATTTCATGTTTCTTTGAGCTATGATTTATGAAACACTAACAACATCCTGGGATCAAACTCTTTATTAGCCTGTATAACCCACACCCACTCGCCCACTAAACCTCAGCTGCAACTAAACTTAAGCTTTTTATAACTGTCGGTTCCATAAAATGATTTCCTTGAATCCGCAGACGTGCTAAGCATTGGTCTCTCGTCCCTCTCAATTTTCCAGTGAGGAGATTAAGGTGCAGCCCAGCCAGCTGTCAGAAGCCGCAGATTCGGGTGCCAGGATGTTCGAGGAGCAGCCTCAGCTGGAGGAGAGTTTCACCATACACTTAGGTACTTCACATGCTTCCCCAGTATTTGTGCACAGATCAGGGGTCGCTGTTAGAGTTAACACAATACAAATTTGCAGGAGCGCAGCTAAAGACGATGCACAACCTGCGACTGGTCCGAGCGGATGTGCTGGATTTCTGCAAACACAGACGACACGGCAGCAGCGGAGCCAAGCTGCGGCGGCTGCAGACGGCGCTTTCGCTGTACTCCTTCTCGCTGTGCGGTCTGGTGCTCCTGGTCGATAACAGGGTCAACTCCTACAGTGGCATCAAGAGAGGTCAGGGAGCACGCGGTGCATAGTGTAGTTACATACATGTATGTTGGTTCCTGCTTTTACCTGCAAAGAGTCGTTTTTGGCTGTAACGTGTTTAGTTTCTGTTCACCTTCTTTTCTTTTACTGGGAGAAGCCGAACGTTAAGTGTTTTATTCACTCACTGTGTTTGAGTTCATCTGGGGCCTACTCTGTGTCAACCCACAGACTTTGCAACTGTGGCAAAGGAGTGCACAGACTTCCACTTCCCCTGCCTAGAAGAGCAGCTGGAGGAGGTGCAGCAGGTGGTGCTGTACGCCAGAGCCCAGCGGAGCAGCAAGCACAAAGACCAGCCCGGTGAGACACTTCAGCCTGGAGGTCCCGAAATCTTGGGGAATAAATTAGATTATTCTTGATGCTATGGTTGTTTCTTTAGGAAAACAAGATGTTTATCTCCTGTTTTAATACCCTAATATAACATATGAGTAAAATTCAAGCCTTTCTCAAACAAACAATAAAATAAAAGTTACAGGAGGCCAGTAAACGCGTATACTTGCCTGTACGAGTCCGGCTTTTACACGGAGCTCACACTGAAAGGTCCTCGTGGAGCTGGGACGTTTCAGCGTTATGCTAGCAGTACGAGAGCGGGATTAAGCTGTCAGGAAATAGAAGATGTTGATTTTATCGCAGCATAAGTGATTTACTGAGTAGAGGTGTACAAGCCTGTCACAGATCCACTGCTAACACTTTGACACAGTGTGCTGAGCGTTGTTCCTGCTGATTTGTGCTTTATTCTGCAATCCTGTATCCTTACAGAGACTCAAAAGAACGGCGGTGATGATAAGAGCAAAAATGTTGAAAGAAATCCCTCGAATATCTTACCAGGTATTAAGAAAACACTTTGTGATTATTTTTAGAGCATCGTTTTATATTTTAACTCTGTCGGCGACATCTCTTCCTGAAGGCGAGTTCTATATCACGCGGCACTCCAACCTGTCGGAGGTCCACGCCGTCTTCCATCTGTGTGTGGATGACAACGTCCGATCGGGGAACATCACCGCCCGGGACCCCGCCATCATGGGCTTGAGAAACATCCTCAAGGTGTGCTGCACTCACGACATCACCACCGTTACCATCCCTCTGCTGCTCGTCCACGACATGTCCGAGGTAAGAAGATGCTGCCGATGCTTGCACGAGTGCAGCTGCAAGAATAAAAGCTTGTAAACTGTATGTTGTGATATAATAATCTTAGTGGAGCAAATGAGCCTGACTGTAAGTTTACTGGACCAGCAGACGTCCGGGTATTGAATCTGCTTTTTCCCCATAAACTGCACGAGTAC